TCTTGTAGACAGCAAATAGATGGGTCTTGTTTTTTTATCCATTCTGATACCCTATGTCTTTTGGTTGGCGCATTTAATCCATTTACATTCAGTGTTATTATAGAAAGATATGGGTTTAGAGTCATTGTGATGTCTCTATGTTTTATGCTTGTAGTGATGTCTCTGGTACTTTGTCTCACAGGATCCCCCTTAGGATATCTTGTAGGGCTGGTTTAGTTCAACCAATAGTTTTCAAATGTTTTTAATAATAGAGAAAAACTTTTTAAACCAAAATCATTTGGGGGAGACATTTTGATACTCATGGGTATGGGTTTTTAAAAAGTAAAACCTGAACAAAACCATGAGTAGTTGAAGTCACTATTATCTATTAAGTTGAACCATTTGAAATTACATTTATTCAGGTTAAACAAACTGGTTGAGTATTGTTAATTTATATGGGTAACCTAATAAAAGAAGATCATTTATGTAGGTACGTCATGAATTGCCCTCATGGCACTCACGGGAGTTGTTTTTTTCACTTCACAGCTTTCAGTTTTTATTGATAGATTTCTAGCGATCATATGACGTTTTTACCTTTAGTATTTGCTGGTTTTTAAGCTTCTGAAATTGTCATAAATGTCAGTGGGGTCAGAGAACGGACTTCAGTGTGGAAGTCACATGGGGAACTTTTAAAGAAGCCATGTGTATTATTTAGATTTTTAAAAAACCTTTTTAGTGTTTTATTTATTTTTGTGAGAGAGCAAGTGAGTGAGCATGAGCAGGGGAGGTGCAGAGAGAGAGGGAAAAAACAAAATCCGAAGCAGGCTCCATGCTCTGAGCCGTCAGCACAGAGCACAACGTGGGGCTCAAAACCATGAACCGTGAGATCATGACCTGAGCCAAAGTTGGTCACTTCACCGACTGAGCCACCCAGGAGCCCCAGTATTAGCTAGATTTTAATGTTGATGGAAAATTGAAGAGGACTTGCATGTACACGAAATGGGAGTGTGTTCCGCTGCCTGGCTTTCATGCTTCTATATCCAGGTCCCATGTGCTCTTCTCAGCTGGCGGGACTTTTCTCCTTGTGAACGCAGAATGCCTGTCTGACCTCTGTGAGTTAACTCAGACCATTCTTGGTCACAGATTACTCTAATGCTCTTTTAGCTTAGCTAATAAATTCTACCCATTCTTCTTAAGTCTTTTGTATAAAGTTTTGCACCTTTATCACAGCTGTTATCATTTTCTCCATTTTCTGAGTCATTTTTTGTAATACTTTATGTATTTTATACACAGCCTACCCAATGAATTTGTATTTTATACTCTTATTTCTTATGACATAAAACTTTTCTTCCTAGGTTGATTGGAAATTTATTTTCCTCATAATGCTTATAGTGCTAGACATGCAATAGGTGCTCGATGAATTGATTACATCAAGAAGCAGACTGGAAGAAAATTGAACAAAATGATAATTGCTATGTTTAACTGAAGACTTAATGGGTGAATTTTTTTTTCTTTTTTCTCAAATTTGTATAATTTTGCTATACTACTATAAACATTTACAGTATATAAGATAAACAACTATTAGATGGTATTTTTACTTCTACCATAAACACTCTTTGTTTTAGTAACATTGGGTTCAAACATTTATTTAGTGCTTTAATATCTATTACATGTTATATTTGTATCTTTTTCTTTTAATAGGAGGAAAGGACCGACGAAGTGGCCTCATTCTGACAATTCCATTATGCTTGGAACAGACAAATATGGATGAGCTGAGTGTTACCTTAGACTACCTACTCAGCATTCCAAGGTGACTCTAAAGGTGTCTTTTCTTAAATTTTGATATGTTGTCATTCATTTACTAATGATTCCTGTTACTAAGGTACACATTGCTATCTTACCCGCTTTTATTAGTGACATTGTAATTAAAAACACTAGAATTAATCATTTCTGATACAACACCATATAAAACAATTATTGTATGCTCTTAATACACTGAATAATGTGATACAGATTTCCAAAATGTACGTACTGTCAGCTTTTAAGGAATACACAGATTGAGCATCTGTATACCATACAACTTGAGAAAACAGAATTTGGTAGAAAGTATTTTTTATTTAAACATCTATTTTACTCCATAGACATAGATCTAAATCTATGTATATATAATCTATCTATATATCTACAGATATAAATTGGTAGGTTTTAATATACTGAGGAAGGCTATTAGCAGTTTAAAAACATTTTTATTTTTAAAAATGCCAAAAATGTTTGTTTTACTTTGAAGGTCCTTGGATTTTTAATTCCTATATTTCTTGGATGAAGACAAAACAAACTTTCCTTTTTGCTTCAGCTGACCCGTCACTTCAACAATAAAAACAAGCTCCCTCCCCAACTTCCTCTCCCATATGTGATATTTGAGGGTTGAAGTCTGATTGCATGTTAGACTCACCTGGAGATTTTTTTTTTCAAAATTCTAATGCCTGGGAGATTCTAATGCTCTCCAGAGATTCCGATCAAATTGTACTTGTGAGGTCTGCTCATCAGACGTTTTTAAAAAACCCTTTAAACTTCCCAGATAATTCTAATGTGCAGTCCGATTTGTAAATCATTGCTATAAATAATGAGAATGAGAGCAGATTTTTTTTTGTTTGTTTGTTAAATAGAGAGGTGGCAGAGGGAACAAAACCATCTTTATCTAATGCTTTTTAAGGTCCAGATAGTGAATTTTAAATATTTTAGAGCAAACAGTTCTTTGTATTCTGGTTCTGTATTTTGCAACCTATTATGTAATAGGTTATTTCATTTTAAACCGTCTTCTAGAGTTCATGGTTAAAACTATATTTTAGAACAACTGACTTTATTTACACCTCCTTCCAATAATGGTCTATAATTTAATGATTCTCTTGCTGATTATTTTTTCCGTTTTGGGGAAATAGAGGTCTTCAAGTGAAAATTTTCAATTTTTTTTACTTTCTGGAAAGGAAAATTCTCAAACTTCACAGCGTGTTAGTATTGGATAACCTTCCTAGTCCTCTGAGCTGTGATAGCTATTTGTGTTATTCACCATTAGACAACATATTACTTCTAGGTAAATAACACTAGCTAGACATACTGCTAACAAATTTGGAAAAAGTATCCATGCTTCATAGATATGTGGTCAGGGAACTTAGAGACCATCTGAACCAATTGCCTTGTTATATAGGTGAGGAAATTGAAACTCAGGTTATAGGTACTTGCCCAGGATCACACAGCTAGTTAGTAATAGAGCTGACACTAGAATCTACCTTTGCTGACACCGATCCAGAGCTCTTCATATTTCACATGAATAAAGTACAGTGTAGTTGTATTTTATGTGAGGTGAGGTTCTGAAGTTGGATTGTAACGCACAAATTACTGATAGTCAAAATTATCCTTGAATAATGCCCAAGGAAGGATTAGAATTAGAGACATACAAACTATTTTTCCATGAACATGCAGATTTTCCTCCAGTGACACTTGAGGAACATGTCACTGAGGCTGAGTTCCAGAAGACACATTTGGCTAGTGATTAAGTTTATGATAAGAAAATGCTTGCTTATGTATGCTAGAATCATGCTCAGCCCAGTAAAATGCCCCTATTGTAAGAGGCACTGGGTAGGTGAGGCCGGCTAAGGCACCAGCAGTTTGACTCACATCCTCTGTCTATTCACTCTGGATGTGCAAGCAGCAAGTACAATGGAGGACAAAAGTAGCCTACACTTTTAAAATTTCTCTCTCTCTCTTTTTCTTATGTAAATATATACATAATAGTCTTCTGTAAATTATGAATCAGTTTCTGCATATCCACAAATACCTGCTGGCTAATAGACAAGTTATGAATTGAAGCAAGATGAAAGAACTTATTCTAGCAAGGCAAAATAAATACTTGGATACTTTATTTTTGAAAATTGTTTTGCTAAGTTTTGGCCTCTCAAGTATTTGTGAAAACGGAATTGTTAACTTTCTGTGTTCTTGGAACAGCCTTCTATAATTTGGGTGCTTAAAAACAGAGTTGGCAGCTCTGTATCAGTACTTGACATTTCCTTAGAGAACTAGAGTGTTTTTGAGCTCTTCATTGCAAATCTGGAGATCAGTTTATTGGGTGCAGTCTTGAAAACTGACTTCTCTCCTTCAGAATGTCTGCCATTCAAAACTGCTTTTATTTTATTTATTTTTTAAAATGTTTTTAAAAAATTTATTTTGA